GATGGCTGCTACTTTGAGGGGAATGGATCTGTGCGGGAAGGGTAAGTCAGTGGAGGTATGGACGGAATGGTGCGTAATTGTGTAACCAGATAGATTGACGGAAGAGGGACGGGTAGGTGAATGGGTAAACAGACAGATGGTTATACAAGTACACGGATAGATGGATGGGTGGTTGGATTAGCATAAGTGTCAATATAGGTGTCAAATCAAGTCTAATTGCCTCCATTAGCCAGTAGGCATCTTGTATGTCAGCGTTTGCTGCATCAACTTCACTCTGTTGAAGCGGGTGTACACCTCAATGTGCGTTGCCCTTCTTCTCATCACCACTTATTCGGTAGCTGTGCTCCTCTCCCTGACCTCATTGCGTTTGCTCTCCGTCTCTAATCATCCTTCTCCGCCGCTTGCTTAAACATTCTCGCAAGAGGCCACAAGGGACATGGAATGCTGGCACCAGCTTGATTAGGCCTCCCTCAAAAACTGCATCGGTGATACTCGTCAAGTCACTTTGACGATTTCTCACTACAAGGAGCACATTGTTCTCCAGCATGGATTCAATGAATCCTGATGCACTCAATTCCATCAAGCTAACGTAAATGGACGAATATGGAGGTAGGTTGGTGCGCAGAATATAGATGCAAATTATTGGTGGTCTCATTGGTCAAAACGTTGAGATCAGTGGATTGCTTTCCCATGTGGTGATGTTGCGTCCATTTTCTGTAATGCGGTAGTAATGTGTTATGTTATGTAGTAGTTATGCCAACGGTACCCACTGGGTTCTGGCCAACTCCCAGCATTTGTATTTGCACCATGTCAGTAGCTGTGATGCTTTGAAGTTGTCAGATAAAGTGTGCCAGGTTTTGAGTCCCTTCAAACCCACATCTCTACACAAACGTCGGTTTTATGAACAGAAACAAGGTGTGCGTTAGACGGTGAACATAAGGATCACCATTTGTGCTTTACAACACTAATGGGATGGAAAGCATTCTACCTTGAGATTGCAGATAGCTTTACCAGATGTGTTGAGGACTGTGCCAAGTGTCAACTCTTCTAATACGCGTGGGACGAGGAAATGACGATTGTCTTGCAGACTGCCTCATGCACTTATTCAATTAGGGAATAGTTCACATTTATCGTACAAACGAGTGGATCAGCCCTAATTTTCCCTGACCTGTATAAGGCAGAACAGAACATATTGTTGCCTGTTCGGCGTGCTGTGAATTGGGCTGCTAGAAGTCGAGAAGTCTGCCTCATTTTACCCCACAGTGGTAACCATAATTCGAGACTAATAGTAGTGCCACAACGAAGACAGAAACAAAGTGAGCATGACAAATGCAGCATGCACGTTTCATTCAGAAAAAGCCCAATTGGAAATGATTATGGGAATGAACATTGACTGACGTATTCCTCAAACTGGACAGCCATGGAAAAATGGGTAATTTGCACTGAATTCCGTAAACTTGCAAGCTAATGCTACCACGAGGGATGTCAGTGATTGCAGAAGTTGAGGCTGATTTGCTAGTCGCGCACCTCATCCTCCTTCACCTTCGAATACGAGACAGTCAAGCACGACTACCACCCAAGACATGCACGTCACTCAATTCTCGACTGCGCTGCAACGTATCTGTGAACATCAG